AAGGAATTCCAGTAGTCAGTAAGAGATTCCTTAGGGATTTTCAGTGTTTTAGATAGCCAATAAAACTTAAACTTTGCTCACCAGAAGACTAAAATGTTAAATTTCGTTATTTCTGGTTTGAACGTCATCAGCAAAGTTCTGATTCTCTGACCTAATTATAAATTCTGATTGGTAGTTAAATGCGTAATTAAAAATAGGAAAATTATTCAATAAATACAGTTGCAAAATATTTCAAATTGAAAGATCTGGGGGATTGTAATGGATAGTGTTACTGATGAGGATAGATTGGGAAGTACTGCTTTAGAGGAGGGTGAAAAGTTGGTGCTGGTTGTAATTTTTCAGGCAAAGTAGCAGGGATAGGTGCTGCCACCAGGAAACCAAAGGAAATAAATTTATGTTTAAAAAAAGAGTCCTGGGCGCCTGGGTGGCTCAGTGGGTTAAAGCCTCTGCCTTCAGCTCAGGTCATGGTCCCAGGGTCCTGGGATCGAGGCCCGCATCGGGCTCTCTGCTCAGCAGGGAGCCTGCTTCCTCCCCTTTCTCTCTCTGCCTGCCTCTCTGCCTACTTGTGATCTCTCTCTGTCAAATAAATAAATAAAATCTTTAAAAAAAAAAAATAAAAAAAGAGTCCTTAATGGGAGTTTGGAATGAATAGTCAACATTTAGCTCTAGAAACACAGGCTAATACAAGATGAATGAAAAAACTAATAGTGATTTTTAAAAATTTATACTTTAAATTATTTCTGTGTCTTAATATGTAAATGTTATATACCTGTGTAATCCATATCGCCTGTAACAGTTATGAGTGGGCTTGAGAAATCTGTTTTCTGTGTTTTTCCTTGACTTCTAGCTAGTTCCTTTTTCCAGAAGTCAGCAACAAACAACCCTTCACTCTCTTTCTGGTGTTGATATCTAAAATGTAAATTGTTAAGTCAGAGTTTTCAAATCATTGTTAGTATCATGTTGGCAAGGCTTTATGAACAAATAGGTGAAGAAACGAAATTTATTGAAAGAAGATTGTTGAAAAGATGGTAGAATGGCAGAATAATACTAAAGAAATTTTACCTACTAAAAATTATGCAAAAGACTAGTCTTGCACAGAACAGTTCTAAAATTATAAAACTGCCATTCTTCTGTTATTTAAAAAAATGTTAATGGGTGCCTGGGTGGCCCAGTGGTTTAGGCCTCCAACTCAGTCTCAGCTCAGATCTTGATCTCAGGGTCCTGAATTCAAGCCTGGGATCCTGGGATGGAGCCCCTCATCAGGCTCTCTGCTTGGTGGGAAGTTGGCTTCCCCCTCTTTCTTTGCCTGCCTCTCTGCCTACTTGTGATCTCTGTCAAATAAATAAATAAAATCTTAAAAAAAAAAAAAAGGTTTTCTAACCTCTGTCTGAGATTAGGTTCTTATGTTTTCTTGTAATCTCTTTTCATCCCCTTCCCTCCTAGCACTTAAACTGTGTTCAGGCCAGTGGTTCTCAAAGTGTGGTCACAGACCGCAGCATCACCTGGGAACTTGAGAAAATGTCAATTCTTAGGCCTTACCACAGTCCTGCTGAATCAGAAACTCAGCGGTGAGATGTCCTATCATCTGTTTCAACAAGGCCTTCAAGTGATTTTATTTATTTTTTTATTTTTTTTTAATAGACATTTTTCTTTTCTTTTTTTTTTTTTTTAAAGATTTTTATTTATTTATTTGACAGAGAGAGATCACAAGTAGACGGAGAGGCAGGCAGAGCGAGAGAGAGGGAAGCAGGCTCCCTGCGGAGCAGAGAGCCCGACGCGGGGCTCGATCCCAGGACCCTGAGATCATGACCTGAGCCGAAGGCAGCGGCTTAACCCACTGAGCCACCCAGGCGCCCCCTTCAAGTGATTTTAATTAAAAAAAAAATTTTTTTTTTTTTTTTAAAGATTTTATTTGACAGAGAGAAACACAGTGAGAGAGGGAACACAAGCAGACGGAATGGGAGAAGGAGAAGCAGGCCTCCTGCCGAGCTGGTAGCCCGATGCGGGGCTCGAACCCAGGATCCTGGCATCATGACCTGAGCCAAAGGCAGGCGCTTAACGACTGAGCCACCCAGGTGCCCCCAAGTGATTTTAATTTTTAAAAGATATTTTATTTGTCAGAGAGAGAGAGAGTACGAGTGCCCAAGCAGAGGAAATGGCAGGCAGATGGAGAAGCAGACTCCCCACTGAGCAAGGAGCCTGATGTGACTTGATCGCAGAATCCTGGGATCATGACCTGAGTCAAAGGCAGACCTTAATCGACTAAACCACCCAGGCATCCCAGCCTTCAAGTAATTTTAATACCCACCAAAGTTTGAAAACCATTGCCTTATACTATAGTTGTCAACACTGCTCCTTTATAATGGACCATAGCTGCTACAATTTTTAAAGAGACTAAAATATTGGAGGTTTTTTCCTTTCATCATTTTATACCACAGCTGCTTGGGAAGCCTGCACAAAAAGGCCATGTAGTATGGAACAACAATAGGATAGATCTGGGGAGCCAATGAGTTATGTTTTGGTATGTTATTTATGATATGAGTAATGAGCCCTAGTGATTTTTTCCCCATGGTTCATCATACTGTGAATGTAAAAGTGGAAATCTTAAACTTGATCATAGGGAAGAACCTTTATAGCTATAAAGTCTTATTACTATTACACAAATATAATTTAAATTGCTTTGATAGGACTTTTTGGTGAAGATCAGTGAATTTGGTTACCAAGGTTTTTGAAAGGTTGATTTATTCAGTATAAATATTTAAGCCAGGTTACTGAGTTTCTTTTTTTTTTCTTAATTATCCTTTTTTTTTTTTAAAGATTTTATTTATTTGAGAGAGAGAGCATGAGAGGGGAGAGGTCAGAGGAAGAAGCAGACTCCCTGCTGAGCTGGGAGCCTGATGTGGGACTCGATCCCAGGACTCCAGGATCATGATCTAAGCCGAAAGCAGTTGCTTAACCAACTGAGCCACCCAGGCACCCACAGAGGTTCTTTTTACCCCATGTCTATGTAGATTCTTCACATTCAGCAACTTTGATTTTTTTTTTTTTTTGTGGGCACAGGACTATAACATAGTCAAGATCATGCCTTTCCTAAAACATCTTATAGTTTATTAATAGTAAATCACAATGAAGGGATGTTAAATGGAGACATAAACTACCTGTTATGGGAGTATGGGAGGAATAGTTAAGACTTTGGGGAATCTAGGCAGGCTTTGAGGCAGTAACTTTGAAACTGTTTTTTTTTTTTTTTTTTTTTTTTTTAATTAAGTATTTTCTATAAGTTTTTTTGTTTTTGTTTTTGAAGCTTTGACCTAATGTTATGTCAAAGACCAAAAAAAAGTGATATTTTAGTTACTATTGTGCCTTCTTCTAAGGGGCTCAAAACTTTTTTTTTCCTTGATCTCACCTCCCTGAGACCAGGACCCGAGTCGAAACAAAGATTTGGATGTTTAACCAACTATGTCCCCCAGGGATCCCTTAAAACTTCTTAAAATGAGTTATGGATCTGGCACCCATATTTTGAATGACAACTGCCTAATTAGTGATGTTTTATCCCTTAAGACTAGGATGGCCAACCTGGTTTTTTGTTTTTCTCAGGATAATTATTATCCCCCCTTTCATGGTCAAGAGTATCCTGGTTTGAAGGAAAAATTATGTAGTCACCCCAATTAAGACTTTTTGAGGGGAAGATTCCATATCCTGAAAATATGAATATGGAAGACATCTTTATCATTTTGGGCCATTTTTACTTGGATACCTTTTAATTTTCATATTGTTTGGTATTAATATACCAAAGTTAATTTTAAAAATTCAAAATATATGTAAGGCCTTAGGAGATAAAAATCTTTTTTATATTATGTAAATATAAGGGAACAAATCAGTAGCCCTCCTTTGTAAAAGTATACTAGAATGTGTTAGATACTAAAAGTATCTAGTTTTTCTCCCTTCTGTTTTCTACTTTAATTGAAGGGGGGGGGAAGATTATTTGAAAAGGATTTAGAAAATACTTAGGGATAAGACTTCTAAGGGCAGAAAATATTCATTTTGTTGTAAGTTCTACTTTTAATTATAAGCCTAAATATACCTGAACCAGTCAGTAAACTAGCAAAAAACCAAGGTCATTAAAATTAGCTAGCTGAAAAAAAATTACAGCTAAAGTGGAACAAATTTTGGCCTGTTGTAAGTTGGGTCTTGGTTCAGTTTAAGTACCACGTATGTGAATATCTACTACATGCATAGCACTGGGCTAGTGGTATATGGTATAGCAAATATGAAGTAGCATGTGATTCCAGCTTCTCTTGGGAAGGTTTGTGAAATCCCTAGAAAGGGATTTTAATGGTTGAAGGGCAAGGGATGACATTTTTAAATGAACAGAGTGAAAAAAAAGTAAGGTATATTTAAGATGGGAATAAACTGACTGCTGCAGAATTAAGAAGGGATATTTGGAGACAGGCTCTAAACTCAGCTTCTCATAAAAACTATAGCTTTTGTTCTTTTTTTTTTTTTTTTTTTTTTTTTAATTAGACTCCCCATCCAACGTGGGGCTTCTACTCACGACCCTGAAATCAAGAGTCACATGTTCTATTGACTGATCCAGCCAGGTGCCCCCCAAAACTGTATCTTTTAAGCATGGGAGATTTGTACAAAACTGATTGAAGAAGGTTGATCTGATGGTCACATAGTACATGACTTGGAGTAGGAGAAAAATAATTGGAGGATAAAAAACCTGATTAAGGAATAGCATAGCTTACATTATAGCTGTATTTCCTCTACTAATAAGGGAAATAGGCAAATAATTCCTCTAGGCTTTTGGTTGACAAATGAGGATATGAAAACAAGGAAGAATAAAAAAAAATCCAATGAAGCTTGTCATAGGAAAAATATTCTTTATTTAAATAAATAAAAACATTTTAAGATGCCAACAATGACTGGAGTTGTTACCTAAAACATGACAGTTAAGATTTCCCCAAAGTTTAAAAAAAGACAATTAATTTTCTGCCTGCTGGCTCTTTAATCCACAGCTTCTCCATCAGTTTTTCTGACCTATGGGTAGAAAAAGAACATCAAGGTAATGTCATTTTGTAAGTGTTTTATTGGAAGCCCTAAGCTTGATGAGCATTAGTTGCATTTCAAATAGAGTTCTAGATAGGTTTTTCTCCACAATCTGACTTAAAGCCTCTGGGACTTTCCCTGCTTTCTATTAGAAGAACTTAGAATAGAAAATAGACTTATTATTAATTAATTTATTTTTAAAGATTTTATTTATTTGAGAGAGAAAGAGCATGAGAGAGGAGAAGGTGAGAGGGAGAAGTAGACTCCCCATGGAGCTGGGAGCCCAATGTGGGACTCGATCCGGGGACTCTGGGATCGTGACCTGAGCCACAGGCAGATGCTCAATCGACTGAGCCACCCTGGCACCCATTAAATAGGTTTATTTTTTTAAAGAATAAAAGTTTGTCTAAGAATCTTTGAAGATTTAGAATACATTAGTGGTTGGGAGCACCTGGGTGGCTCAGTGGGTTAAAGCCTCTTCCTTCCGCTCAGGTCATGATCCCAGGGTCCTGGGATGGAGCCCCGCATCGGGCTCTCTGCTCAGCAGGGAGCCTGCTTCCCCTCCTCTCTTTCTCTCTCTCTGCCTGCCTCTCTGCCTACTTGTGATCTCTCTGTGTCAAATAAATAAATAAAATCTTTGAAAAAAAAATACATTAGTGGTATTAGTTAAAGCTATGTTAATATTGTAAAACTAGGATATTCGTTTTAAAAAGTTACTCTACCTTTTCTCCAGGACTTGTAGTTGTTAGGATGTTTGCCATCCATAAACTGTTTTTTTATGTCTCTTGAGTCACTGTAGGAGATGACCAAAAAAGAAAAGTTAGTTCGAGACCAGAACTAGAGATTTAGTCTAGATAACCATTCTATCTAGGAGATTTAAATTACTTTACCAAAAATAGTTGACATTATTAAAGGTCAGAGTAGGAATTATTGATTTTGTGCAAGCTTCTGTTTTATATAGTTCCTTTGTACTTCCTGTCCCCCTATGTATGTGGTGGGAAACTCCACTGATGGCTTCTCTAACCCTTAGATGTAACCTTCAGTCTTGTTAGGTTATTTCATGTAGAGTGTAGTAATTATTTTCCCTTCAAAGTTTTAGGAATTGGTTTTTTATTCCTTGAAACTCTTACATAGAATTGAGAATCTTATGTAATCAAGTCCTTAATGGATTAAAGTCCGAAGAGAGTCTTATGGAGGGAATGGAAGTACTCAGATCCCATGAATGCAGATCTTTTGAAATTCAAGACTGAAGTTTAGGCATTTGCCACGGCTATGGCCTAGTGGCCATTTCACTTTAAGAGTCAAACTTAAAGGTATTTTGCTCTCTATTCCGATAACTTCTATAAGATGAGTTATCTTACCTTTCACAGACCAGCATTTTTGGAGCAAATGTCTTAAGAACAAATGAAGGAGAATGATGTGTGTTATCTAGAAAGAAAGAGAGATGATGGAGATGTGATACCAGTACTAAGCATTTTTATATTGCTGCAGAGAAAGCCATTGGCAGTAGAGATTTGAATCTCCCATCCATAGTTGTTGCTGGGAATTGGATGCTTTGCTAGGACTGCATTCTTACCAACTTGACTGAGTATGGTCATATGACTGGTTTTGGCCAATGGAATGTGACTAGAAGTATTTTCTTCTGGGCCAAGATGCTTAAGGGGGACCTGGACCTCCGTTCTCTTTTTGTGGCAGTTTGGGAAGCCAAGTGTGGAAGGTGACAGTCACAGGATGAAAAAAGCCTGTGTTCTCAAGGCACAATCCCCATGGAATTCTTGCACTGGGCTTATATATAAGGAAACATCTGTTGTGTTAAACCATGATATCAATACAATTTGAACTTTGTTAAAGGAACTTGCATTACCCTAATACACATATACATCTTTATTTAATATTAATCTATCTTGTGAGGTAGGTATTATTCCTTTTATAGGTGAGGAAGAGGTGTTTAAGAAGTAACTTTCCTTAAGGACTGAGCATATAGTTGAACCTCCATCTGACAGAAGAACTATTGAATTCTCTGTTTGTTATAACACGCTACATTTTAGAGAAAAGATATCACTTGAGATAGGATAAATCCAAACCTTTCAGACTACAAGTTTCAATTTATACCAATACTTTTTTTCTGTGGCAAGTGGCCAGATAGTAGTAAGATAAGATTCTTTAAACTGTTATAAGTGATCTCAGGTTTAATTAGACTCCCTTTTTGCTGGGTTGCCTCTTCAGAGACAGAGGAAATTCTCAGATTTATTTGATTGTTCTGAAGGATTTTGTGGGAGGAGTATTAAGACTTAACTTACCCAGGACTACAGTACTTAGCTACCAAGAACTTAGGATCTAAGCCTTCATTTAAAACTGGGTTCACTGATTCACTCATGCTCACCTACGTTCCAGACATCAGGGTCAAGAATCTGATTGGCAGCATTAGAAAGTTTTTCATTTGGTTCCAAACTTGGAGAAATAACCTTTGGAAGATTAAATGGCTCTGAAATAAAACAGACCAGAAGTTATAGAAACAGAGTAGAAACTTCCTTTTGCTTTTCCTTCCTCTCATTTGGCTGAGACTTCTGTACATATGAAATATGGGGGGCAGGGGGCAATAGCAGATGATGTAACTTATCTGCCCCTCAAATTAAAAACAAAACTTACCATCATCTACAGCAGTTCTATTGACACAGTTAGCCTCATGTTCCTTGAGCCTTTTGATTGGGACCACATGGCAAGCATTATATTTGCAGTTAGCCATCTTTTTAGCTATCTTTGGATTTTTCTAAAAGAAAAAAAAGCTCTTGTTAAATGCCTATTATACAATGCCTGTATTCCACCCTCCATTCTCTTCTGGAAATGCTTAAGACAAACAATTTCCAACATTAAGAACTGCTAAGTGCTACGTATAGTCAGAAGATTGTTCTTGAAAACAAATGAACAAACCAACAAAAACTTTAAATTTTATATTCTGAGCTTATTTTTCTCCCTCCACTGACTTTTTTTTTTTTTTTTTTAAATCAGGAAAACTTACTTTTCTACATGATGCCAGGTGGTACTGTAACCTGCTGGCTGGCATCCTGTGGTTCGGGTCATAAGGACATATTTCTAAGTCTTCTGGCTCCATGAGGCCTAAATAGTAAGAACTATGGGTTGGAAAAGAAAATATTGACATTTAAGATCAGGTAATTTTGACATAGGCCTACTTTCTATTCTCAGAAGAGTGAGAGATGTGGGTATCTTGCTATGAAAGTTTGGGATGACTAAAGCAATAGCCTCAACAGTTAGATAATAGGAGAACTTCTTACATGCCTTGGAAAACCAAAAATTAATGTTTGCACAAGTATTTTAGTCTTCTAGGTTGTTTTGAATAGAATCCTTTGCCCTCAAAGAGAGTATTATACAGGCAGGGCTCCTTGGAAAGCTCAGAGTACTGGGGTATGATGAAGTTTAATACCATCAGCTTGAGTGTTGAGAAAGCAAGCCTGGGGCAGCTGGTTCTTTTACTGTTTAGCACTGCTCCCTCACATCTCTTTGCCAAATCTATCTAAATTAAGCTCTTTGTTAGGCAAGGATGCTACTTGTCAGATCAGTGTAGCCACTTTGGGGGAGTAGGGCTTGGAAGAATGAACAGTACCATGTTCAAGTTCAGGCTACTTTATAATTATCTGAGAATGCCAGTCTGAAATCTCTAAAGTTGTAGGTATTAACATATGAATACTCTTAGAAGAAAACTAAGAATATACCATCTCGAATCTGCCACATTTCACTGCCAATAGGAGGCCTACTTTCCCTTATGGCTAGCTGTCTTTAGCTATCCAGCAGACATTCACTTCAAGGACTCCCAAGTTTCCAGGCAACAGCTATAGCTGAGATTTCTGCAAAGCAGGGACAGACTAGTCTGATGGAGGTGGGGGATCAAGGCAGACTGGCAGAAGCAGTAAGGATAGAAAAGTGCCTGGAAGAGCCCATTTCAATTCTGCTTTGTATCATGCCTAGGGCATAGACAAAGGGCACAGAGATAGACTGTTAAATGTCAGATTTTCCTGAGGGCATTTAGATGATTAAGTCTAGGGATTTAGACTCAGTACCTTTCAGGAACACAAGCCAGGGTGGCTCTTTAAAGCTTACACTGCATATTAATGATAATATTAGAGCCATGAACACTTACTGTAAAGTAAATTGGCTTTCTGGGAAATAAAGGTTGCAGTATAATCCATTATTGTGTAGTTATCTTTAGATTCTTAAAGATAGTGGAAGAAGAGCTTTAATACTGATACCTAACTATTGATAGCTGAATATCCTATGTTGGGAGGCCAAGATTATAATGGAGGCCAATTTGGTTTAATACATGTTGGATTTGCAAGAGGATTCCAGCCTCGATGCTACCTTGACAGTTAAGCTGAGTCTAAACGCTCTTGAGTCCTACCTTATTCTTGAAGCAGTGACTCTCAAGAATCTGAAGGGAACTGTCTGAATCTGAAGAGGCAAACAGTCCTTCTGGAGGTCAAAACAAGGCAAACAGCTGAAGTTTGGGGAGAGGGAAAGCAGAGTGAGTACCTTTGTCAAGTGATGGGAATCAACTTTCTGTTCAAACTACTCAACTCCTCTTCTCCTACCATATGGTCGATGGTTTCTCAGAGTTTTGGAAGTTTTTGATGTCATAGTTAAGTCTTGAAGAAGTGGTTTTCAATCTTGGTTCTGCAAGAGAATCAGAGTAGTTTTAAAGTGACAGAGCTGCCAGAACTCTTGGACCAGAATTTTCACAAATGGGGTCTGGCTAACTGTGGCTTTAAAAGAGTTCCACAGGGGATTCTGATTTGTAGCCAGGGTTACCAGGCCGTGCTCTGGGGTAACTAAGCTGTCCTCAGGAGGGTTCTTCCAGTTTCCAGGAGGAGCTGCTGCATAGCTTTTCCAGTGAAGTTTCTCTCAGGACTACCAGTTGGAATGATTGGTCTCATCTTTTTTTTTTTTTTTTTAAGATTTTATTTATTTATTTGACAGACAGAGAGAGATCACAGTAGGCAGAGAGGCAGGCAGAGAGAGAGAGGAGGAAGCAGACTCCCTGCTGAGCAGAGAGCCCGATGCGGGGCTCGATCCAATTGGTCCCATCTTTAAACCTGACCTTTTTCAGGGCGCCTGGGTGGCTCAGTGTGTTAAAGCCTCTGCTTTCGGCTTGGGTCATGATCCCAGGGTCCTGGGTTCGAGCCCTACGTCGGGCTCTCTGCTCAGCAGAGAGCCTGCTTCCCCCCCGCCGACTCTCTGCCTGCCTCTCTGTCTACTTGCGAGCTCTCTCTGTCAAATAAATAAATAAAATCTTAAAAAAAAAAAAAAACAAACCTGGCCTTTTTCTTTATGGGGTGCCAAGTAGAATTTCACAGAAAGTACATAAGCTCACTATATCTTAAAAAACCCGAAGTTTTAGTTTCTTTCTGGCCTCCTTAATCCAGTGTACCAGGTCTTGAGCCAAATGTTTACAAACACCACCATAGCATATAACCACTTCTACAGGTGTATGAGGGATGACCACTGTTTTATAGATCAGGAAACCAACTCAGTGGTGATAGATATCCTAAAGTTACAAAGCTAGTGCATGTTTGGTTGATATAATTAATATTATTTGAGGTAATACATGTAAAGCCCTTAAAGTACCTGGTACATAGTAAAGAACGAGGTCATCGCTTCACATGTAGTAACTTCTTTAATACACACAATATCTACCTGTGATATGAATGATTCTTAATATCCTCTCCACTTGGCAGGCAGGGAGACTGGATCAGAGCTGCTGAGTGATAAAGTTGGGATGTGGACTCAAGCTTTCCGGCTCCAGACCTGGGGTCTTTGCCTGTAAGTCATAAGGCTTAGGCCACTGGACTCAACAATATTCAAGCCCAAAATTCTGTCTGATGCCAAAATGTGGGCTTTTCTCATATACCAAGTACAAGGAAATGAGTGATTTCCAGGCTTCAGCAATCTTAGAGTTAGCTGAAGTGGCAGGGTAATATGAAACAGGCATATAAAGGTGGGACCTAATTTAGATGTGAAATACACAGTAGAGACCAAGTTGGAGTTCAGCAAGGGCTCATCTTAGGACTCTTTGAGCCAGATTCAGAAGATTGACTAGGATTTGGATCAGCAAGAGGGGAAACATACATAAGTGTGAAAGGTAGAAATGAACATGGCACATGCACAGTAGACTACTGGGTTGGTCCCTGCTAGGCTGGGGAGTATATAATAGGGAACAGAAGAAAACTCGATCAACTTTGTAGGGAGAGTCTTCGACAAAATTTTCAAGAGGGTAAGGCATGCGAGTGAAAAAGATCCAGTAGAACTATACTAACCTGTAAGAAGGCTGCTGCTGTCCTAGGGCTCAGCTTCCTATGCTTTGGTACCCCACAGCCTGCTCTTAATCTCTCCCATCAAGGTGAAAGACCAATAGAAATCCTGCAAATTACTCTAGTAGAACCTGGGTTTCTTTGATAACAGCAGGTGATTCAAATCTTCCCAGGGGGCCAGTAGTACCTTATGCTGGGTCTCTAGCCTTCTAGGGACTCTAACCAGTCAATAAACTGAAAGGCAGATTCTATTTTCCAAATTGTAAAGTTTCCATTAGAGATGTTTGAAATTTCATGTGTTAAGCACTGCTGTCTTTTTGCTTCTTTAAAAAATATATTTTTGGGGCAGCTGGGTGGCTCAGTGGGTTAAGCCTCTGCTTTCAGCTCAGGTTATGATCCCAGGGTCCTGGGATCGAGCCCCACATCAGGCTCTCCTCTCAGCAGGGAGACTGCTTCCCCATCTCTCTCTCTCTGCCTGCCTCTCTGCCTACTTGTGATCTCTGACTGTCAAATAAATAAATAAAATTAAAAAAAAAAATAAGTATATTTTCTTGGGAACAAACATATTAAGCTTATGTATTTAAGTTTATTTAGGTTTCTGTATATAATAATACTAATCAGCTCCCCCCCCATCCCTCAACCCCAAGATTTACTGGGACAATGTAAGAGCCCAGGATATGGCAAAAGAGAATGATTGAAAAGTGAAAAAAGGCATTGGAAAGGAGGAAGACACGATACAACTCAATGTAGAATTTTTCTGAAGACCTTCTGCTTTTTGCCTTGAAAGAAACTTGAAAGTGAGTCTATTTTCTTGAGTTAGAGAGTTAAGGCCCGGTTGGAATGGCAAGAATATTTTAGTGTTAAAATTCATTCAGTCTCCTGGGGCACCTGGGTGGCTCAGTGGGTTAAGCCTCTGCCTTCAGCTCAGGTCATGATCTCAGGATCCTGGGATCGAGCCCCACATCGGGCTCTCTGCTCAGCAGGGAGCCTGCTTCCTCCTCTCTCTCTGCCTGCCTCTCTGCCTACTTGTGATCTCTCTCTGTCAAATAAATAAATAAAATCTTTAAAAAAAAATTCATTCAGTCTCCTAACATTTAAAGTCTGCTATTAATTTCCCCTTGTTAATCTCAGTTAATTTGGTTCTTCATGGGGCCTATTTCCCAAGTTAGTCTTAATAATTCAACAAATAAATCAGCATATTTACTGAGTGGTTACTGGCTCCAGGAGGTAAGTGTTTCTCAGCATGTTTCTGATAGAACATTTGTCTCAAAACTTTCCAGGGTACTTAAATATGCAGATTTCTAGGCCCCACTGCAAACCTCCCAATTCTGAATCTCAGAGGATAGGGATTGATCTCAGTTTCTTAAGCACCTTTAAGAAGGTCAGGCACCCATTTGTCAGATGGGTGCCTGGGTGGTTCAGTCAGTTAAGTGTCTGCCTTCGGCTCGGGCTCAAGTAATGATCTCAGGGTACTGGGATTGAGCCCTGCATCGGGCTCCCTGCTCAGTGGGCAGTCTGCTTCTCCCTCTCCCTCTGCCCCCCCCACCCCTGCTCGTGCTCTCTCTCAAATTAAAAAAAAAAAAAAAAGAACTATTGTATTAGAGCAGTGGTTCTCAAACTTGAGAATGCATTGGAATTACCTAGAAGGCTTGCTGAAACACAGAGTGCTGGACCCTACCCTAGAGTTTTGGATTCAGTTGGTCTGGGGTGGGTCCTGAGAATGTGCATGTCTAACAAGTTTCAAGGTGATGCTGATATGACTACACTTTAAGAATCACTGTACTAGAGTATTGTGAAAGATATTAAGAAGTACTAGATACAATTCCTATCATTAAGGAGCTTATGATGTAGTAGGGGGAGATAAGATATATACTTGAGAATATAGTGAAGAATATGGTGTTCTGTATAATAATTGACATTAGATGGGGCAATGAGGAAGAGTTAGGATTTAATCTGGGCCTTAAAAGATGGTTAGGCCTAAGGTTCAGCTGAGAATAACAGGCAATTTCAATGGGGGTATATAAAAGAGGAAGTAGTATAAAGGTGTATGGGCGTGGGGTGGTCGATAGTTTTTTTGTCCGGTGTTGAGCTTTTTATAGGACACTGGTGAAGGGTTAAGGCCAAAAAGGTTTGTACCAGGCTGTGGAAGAGCCTTCAACGCCTGTCCCTTTCCCCTGCCTCCACCCGCTTCATAGTCTTACCAAAAGTGCTGCACCGCTAAAAAGAGGAAATGTCTGCTGCTGAGTGTGCAAGAGGAAGCACAAGAAGATTCTGAAGGTCTGTGAGCTGTAATGACTGCTTTTACCCATGAGCCAATTGTAGAGGCAACAGGAAGACCAGCGCACCAACCAGGCTGTGTCCCTCCGCCCAGGGGGTGTCACCACCCAAGCTGAAAGTGTTTGGGGAGATTCGACATTGCTGTCCGGATACTCCTCTCTCTCGGAGGCCATCATGTCTTTGACGTCTGCCTACCAGCATAAATTAGCTGAGAAGCTCACTATCCTGAATGATCGAGGTCAGGGGGTTCTCATCCGTATGTATAACATCAAGAAGGTAAGCATGAGCAACTGGACTAGTGCCATTTATTCCAGCAATAGTAGGGCAGGAGACTCTGAGGCCGGCAGTTCCAGGGGTTAGACACCCTCTTCTTTCCCCACTGGTTTAACTGGCCTTCAGTCACTCGGATTATGTAGGCCAGCCAGTGCTATGAAGCAGAAGGGGAGGCTTTTTCTAGGTATAATTCTTGCCCCAGTGAGAGTCTGCTTTCTGCTGGGTATATGGGGATAGGAAATAATTTTGTTCTGAGTCACTTAATAAAGGTTTGGGGTCTAGAAGTCTGGGTCTCATTGTTTATTGCTGATCCCCCATACTCTGAAGATATCCAAAGTTGGGTCTATGGCAAAAACTTTTCCATGGACTTTCCTACAGGGAAAAAATAGATACAATATTTCAATAAAATATGGGTTGGTGCCTTCTGAGGTACACAGTGTCTGAGAGTTCATGCTGTAGTGTGTGTGTGTGTTTAGGATAGGAATTCTGGAATTGAGAGATGCTGGGGACAGGATCAGGCTAGGGGGCAAGGGGCTGGCCTAGGGAAGTAAAGAGATAAAGATGGGCAAGAATAGGC